TATCATATTTCATAAAAACTGATTATAATAAATTATTTAGTTTAAAGAAGGATATGAATAATTTTGATTGAAAATCTTTTCTTATTAATTTATTTTCAGTATTTTTATATTATATTTGCGAAACATACTGAGATCAAGTCTTATTGAGTACAAATTTATTTAAGAAATCTCAACAAATTTATGTGCTATAACTATTTTCAACAGAAACTACTTGTTTCGAGCCAATGTCAGTTCTGATTAAGTTATTGGAATAGATAAGTGTGTATTATAGTATACTTATTTTTGTTGATTAATTGTAATAAATATTTAAATTAAAGGCTGCGTCACTCATCACAGGTAACTGAATGATGCCGTTATCTGTGACGAGTAACGTAACCTTTAACTTAAACATTTGCTAAGATTAATCAACAATTCTGTGCAATCGTGAAACTGTCGCTAAATAAGTTTTTTATTTTTTTAATTTGTGCAATCATAAAAAAATTTGTTGAAGTATTGGTATTTTTTTAACGGATTTGAAACTTATATCCATAACAAATAACAAATATTTAACCTTTTATTTTTTGACAAAAAAGGTAAAAACATGAATGCTAAGTTTCAAATTTTAATTTTTTGTTTTGAAATGAAAATATGGGTTAATTCAAAATTTTAATTCTCTTGAGATGAAATTTATAAATTAATCGACAATCCTTTTAAACTTCAATTTGTTTTAGTATTAAAATGCATTATTTGATTGAAAATTCATTGAAACTTCAATTATTTTGAAGATAACAAAAGAAAAAAACGGATCGGTTTTTCTATTAAATCTGTCTCTTTGCTTATTTGGAAAAAAACAAACAAGAAAATAACTGCAAAAAAAAATTGCCAACAAGCTGGATGAAGAGCCACATTTTGGAAAATCGACAATAATTGTGTTCGGTTTCAGGATTCCTAAACCGGAACATTGAATTACTGCTGAAGCGGTCTCATTCAGTTCACTTAAATTCTGATACGACACAACCAAATGATGCGCATTAAGGCACGATTCACCGATCTGAACCGAAAAAAGGAAAATATACAATGAAGAGATATAAGTGATTCGATTTCAAAGGTAACTTTTTCAAAAGTTTCTTAGCATCTCACAAACTTTCGATCGAAGCTGTAAAGAAAGAATTTCCAGAATTTCCATGAAAAAAACTTTATAGCATTATATGTTATGTTGGAGATGAAAGAAAAATTTGTTTAACATTTGCAAACAATTTTTACTTTACTCTTTTTAAAATGAAAAATTACAAACGTTTTGCATTTGAGCAAAAAAAAAGCGAAATTTTTGTTGAGTTTTTTTACAAGAAGAAGAAAAAAATATCATCCGAACCAATTGTGTGACCGCAGTTTCCACTAAGCCCAAATATTCACCGGTATCCGGGTCATTTGTATGACCCTGAAAAATGGAACCAATTCTTGCATATATTTCTGGAAAAAAACTTATCCATATCCGTACATATTCCTGCTAATAAAATGTTGTTATTTAATCCTGAAACTCTCATGATTACTGCAAACAATGATCCGATTATTTGCATTTTTGGTATTCTCTATTATAAAAGTATTACAAAGAGATGAAAATTTTTGTTCATCTATTTATTATTTTTCTTGCTAACTCTTTCTATTACTTTTTGATACTTAAAGTCAAAAATTATTAAATCGCAAAACATTAATAAGAAATTATTAAAATGATATATTTGCAAACACTAAAATGATCAATTATTTAATAAATTAGCAAATACTTCACATAATACCGCAACAATATTCGATGCGGCACCATCTTTAATCCATTCCGCTACAGCAATTAACTTTTGACAATTAACAAGCCATTCGGGATTTTCATCAATTTGCATTATTAAAATTTGTGGATACCAATGATGTTCGAAATCTTTATGACTGTAAACGCAACGTAACAAACGATATGCTATATCGACACGCCAACGTTCGAAATATTCCAACCACCACCACATCTTTTTATTTGTGCATAAAACAATGAATAAATATTTCAAGTCTATAGTACATATATATGAATTACTTTTAATTTTGAATCTTTTTTTTTCGTAAAATATAATTTCTAAAATATGCACAAATTCAATTTTTAGTTCCTAAAGTTTGTAAAATTAAAATAAATCAACTATATTTATCCAATTGTTCACATTTGATACAGATATTTATTAACGACTTCAGGAATTTTAAAAAATCAATTAAAAAATGCAATAAGTTTCTAATGGCTTCACTTGACTCAGTTTTGTTGTCTATTCTTAACAACATTATTCTACAGTAATATTTTAATATTACTGTAATAAGATTTTTTTAATTTTTGCGTGAAGAATTCTGTGTTCCAGTTTTTATCTATTTTATAAAATACAGGGTCAATTTTTTTTCAATACTTTTTTCTGTTAATTACAAACAAAATTATAATTAATCAATTAATTATGTGATAATTTTTAAGAAATTTTCTTTATAAATTGATAATTTTATATTTCATTTGGTTTCACCCGATATGTACTGTTCTTGTTTGTGTGCTTGTTTTTTTTAAGACCATTCATGTGGCTAATAATGTCCTCATTCTTATATCATAAATGATTGAATAGATATCTTTTACTCGAGCCAAGCTAAATGATATATTCTAGGTCGAAAAATCTCGAGGTTGCAAAATGAAAACATATGACAAGAAATGAAGTGCATCAAAAGTCGTAAACGAATTCAATTCTCCAATTGAATTCGTTTACGACTTTTGATGCACTTCAAATTCTGATTTGATTTATACGAGATGATAAATATAAGTGAATTTGGGGCTTTTTCAGATGCAGAAATATTTATCCGAAATGCTTTACCATATCATATAAGCTGTCAGATTTTGATTTTTTATAATGATGAAAAAGACATTTTTATTTGGACTATAAGATATTTTAAAATAAGAATAGGTCTCTTTTATGATAATTTAATGCTCATTTCTTATTTTGTTTCTGCTCAATCATCCTTTCATGCTTGTTTGAAACTGAGAATTAAGTAATGCTTTATTTGAAATCAGTATGAGTTGTAAAGCAACAAAAGCAACTTAATAATGTTAATAACACATTTGATACAGGGAACTTTTACGAATGTATGATACAGTGAGGTTCTCTCCTGAGAAGATGTGAAGCATGAAGGAGTGTTAATGACCGATGATCAAGAATTAAAAATAAATTATTGAAAAATTGTTGAAGAACTGGTCATTAACTGTCACATGGCTGTTCGGCATTGTAAGATAACTGATGAAAGTTGTTGATAAGTGGATGGATGATGGATGTTCATGAGTTCATTTTTGGTCGACAAATACGTCACTTCCAATTCTCGTCTTATTTTATGCAGCAAAACGGAACATTTCTTGTGCACAGATCGTAATTGCAACAAAAAAAAATGGATTTTTTATATAACGATGATTATTATTTCAGTGGTTTGCTCGTTAAAAAATCCCAAAGTACTTCACAAAATCAAACATTAAGAAGAGATCATCATCATTGCTGATTTGTTAGCTGATCTGTTATCAATGCAGTTCTCTGAATCCTCATCGTTACAGCTAAAAAGTATGTTTAGGAGGTAGATGAGATGCATTGAAAATGTAATTAATAGATAAAATTTAAGAATTCTTCATGGTAATAATCGTTAATCATTTGCAGTAAAGTACTTTCAAAAACTGAGCCACATGAATTATAGCCTTATTTGTTATATTCATTTAATCTCTTATCTATCAGATAGTGAAAATGTTTCTTCAGCTAGTAGCATGTAAAAAGAAAATGGTTTTTGAAACTTTGTGGTATCTCGAAACAACAACAATTTCTATACCATAGGAATAAAGAAAAAGGAAAAACTTATTTTTCGTAGGCAAAATTGTATTGATTGTAGCAGTTCTTATTTCCATTAATCAATATGAATTGAAGTCGGCTGATAATAACTTGAAATTTACCATTCGAAAATGCAATTTCTTTTGCACAATAACTATTTTTTTTTTTTTGAAAAATTTTCAACATTTGTATTGCTTCTTCTTCGCACAATTCAATTATTGCTTGCAGAATGAATTCTTAAAAATGCTGAAGAGTTGTAAATGAAAAAGCTTGAAAAGAAAACAAATTGCATTGAACAAATTAAAACCCAGTTTTAGCTTGACTTTCAATGATGCAGTTTTTAACTGAATCTGTTTAAATTTGTAAAAATAGATTTGAAAATGCAAGAAAACTTTGCAGAAAAGAAAATCACCGAATTATCCTAAAAAAGGAAAAAATTGCTGGCTCAACTGAGACTGTTGTTACTATTAGCCTTGTTATTCAGGCCTTTTATTATCAAGAATTTTTCGTACTAAATATTTGAATGCTGCCACAATGATTATATTTATTGGATTAGATCAATCGTGACCTAATCCAACAAAATTCTAGTACAGTATGTTTATTTTTGAAATTTTAAAGATCAAATCTTCAATTATAAACCTTTAAAAAAATTAAAAGTGGGTAAATTTTTTAGCTTCATCATCATAAGAACCAATTTGATCGCGTATTATTCTTTCCTCAAAAATTTGTATGATGCTAATTTGGATCATTTCGAATTCAATAACTCTCTCATCCAATTACCAAAAATCATGAGAAAATCCATGAAGACATAATGTAATGTAAAATAAAATTATTTTCCGTATCATAGATATCAATTATCAGTATAACTGTGACTCATCTAACATTCTAAACATGTTATTGCTAAAAATTATTTCAAATTTCATCTCTTCATTCATTAAATTCAAACAAATTTAAATTAATAGAAACTATTTTCCACTTTGCATAAATTAAACCTTTTATTCAATGAATGAACGTGATGTAAATTGACCCCTGATCAATTGTATCACTCTCCACTCTCCCTTCACTAACCTCTCCTCCCTATTATCTCATCAAAATATGTGCAACTATTTGTTATATCTCGCAAGTGTACGTATGTCTTCCTATAGATGTGCATGTATGCATGGTTGTGTATATCTGCGTCATTTATCCATATGTCTGTGCCTCTCGTATTTGTGTCTGTATATGTGTGTGCTTCTGTGTCTGTACGTGTGCGTGCATCTCTCTAAGCGTGCACGTCTGTGTCTGTGTCTGCATCTGTGTGTTTGTATGTGTGTGTATGTGTCTATATATGTGTGTGTGTGTTTGTATGTGTGTGTTTGTATGTGTGTGTTTGT